CCCCTTCTAAGCGGTGTTCTTTTTTTCTTATACAAAGTCAGCTTATTGCCCCCACAAACCGGGTCCTCATTTTACCTACCTCAGAAGGATGGAAGGCTGAGTCAACCTTGAGCCTGGTGAGATTCGAACTCGCGGTAATTGCAGGCAGCTGGAGCTACTTTAACAGCACTTAGTCAGCTGCGCCACCAAAGCTCTGGAGTTTGCTATCAAGCCTACCCCGAGGGTTGGGAAGCCGTGTCTGGTTATATAAATAGCCCAGGAACGTTTTAAAATTCCCCAAAAGCGGGGGGGGGGGGGGGGGGCCTTGGTTGTGACAATCAGTAACACCCCCCCACCAACTTGTGAGTTTCTTTCTCCTCGATCCGACTCCACATCCAGCAGGAAAAGGAGCAGCGCCATGGATTTGATTCCACGAAGGGCACAGAAGCGTTTTACCCTGCGACGGTTTTGGGATGCCTTTTAAAAATAGTTGCAGGAGTTTGTGGGATGCCAAACGTGTGTCGGAGAAACTGCCTGTGGCTTTGGCGATGGGGGGGGGGAGGGGGAGGGAGGGGGAGGGTGCACTAGGAGCCAGCTGTTGCCGATAGCTGGCTGAATAGGGGCTTTTCAAAGGACAGAGGCATAGAATAGAATAGAATAGAATAGAATAGAATAGAATAGAATAGAATAATAGAATAGAATAGAATAGAATAGAATAGAATAGAATAGAATAGAAGAATAGAATAGAATAGAACAGAACAGAACAGATGGAAGGGACCTTGGAGGTCTTCTAGTCCAGCCCCTGCTTAGGCAGGAAAGCGTACACCACTTCAGACAAATGGTTATCCAACCTCTTCTTAAAAACTTCCAGTGTTGGAGCATTGACTACTTCTGGTGGCAAGTTGTTCCACTGGTTAATTGTTCTCACTGTCAGGAAATTTCTCCTTAGTTCTAGGTTGCTTCTCTCCTTGATTAGTTTCCATCCGTTGCTTCTTGTCCTGCCCTCAGGTGCTTTGGAGAATAGCTTGACTTCCTCTTCTTTGGGGCAGCCCCCTGAGATATTGGAACACTGCTGGGGGGGAGAAGGAAGCAGGAAAAAGAGAAGGAATAGGGAAGGAGGAGAAGGGAGAAGAAGCAGAAGGGTAGAAAGAGGAGGAGGAGAAAGAAAGGAGATGGAGAAAGGAGACAAGGGGGTGAATAGGAGGGGGGAGAAGGAAGCAGGAAAAAGAGAAGGAATAGGGAAGGAGGAGAAGGGAGAAGAAGCAGCAGAAGGGTAGAAAGAGGAGGAGGAGAAAGAAAGAAAGGAGATGGAGAAAGGAGACAAGGGGGAGGAGAGGAGGGGGAGAAGGAAGCAGGAAAAAGAGAAGGAATAGGGAAGAAGGAGAAGGGAGAAGAAGCAGAAGGGTAGAAAGAGGAGGAGGAGAAAGAAAGGAGATGGAGAAAGGAGACAAGGGGGAGAAGAGGAGGGGGAGAAGGAAGCAGGAAAAAGAGAAGGAATAGGAAAGGAGGGGAAGGGAAGGGAGAAGAAGCAGAAGGGTAGAAAGAGGAAATAGAATAGAATAGAATAGAATAGAATAGAATAGAATAGAATAGAACAGAACAGAACAGATGGAAGGGACCTTGGAGGTCTTCTAGTCCAGCCCCCTGCTTAGGCAGGAAAGCGTACACCACTTCAGACAAATGGTTATCCAACCTCTTCTTAAAAACTTCCAGTGTTGGAGCATTGACTACTTCTGGTGGCAAGTTGTTCCACTGGTTAATTGTTCTCACTGTCAGGAAATTTCTCCTTAGTTCTAGGTTGCTTCTCTCCTTGATTAGTTTCCATCCGTTGCTTCTTGTCCTGCCCTCAGGTGCTTTGGAGAATAGCTTGACTTCCTCTTCTTTGGGGCAGCCCCTGAGATATTGGAACACTGCTGGGGGGGAGAAGGAAGCAGGAAAAAGAGAAGGAATAGGGAAGGAGGAGAAGGGAGAAGAAGCAGAAGGGTAGAAAGAGGAGGAGGAGAAAGAAAGGAGATGGAGAAAGGAGACAAGGGGGAGAAGAGGAGGGGGAGAAGGAAGCAGGAAAAAGAGAAGGAATAGGAAAGGAGGGGAAGGGAAGGGAGAAGAAGCAGAAGGGTAGAAAGAGGAGGAGGAGAAGGAGAGGAAGAAGGAGGAAGAGAAAGGAGACAAGGGGTGAGAAGAGAAGGAGGAGGAGAAGGAGAAGGAAGGAGGAAAAAGAGAAGGAATAGGAAAGGAGGGGAAGGGAAGAGAGAAGAAGCAGAAGGGTAGAAAGAGGAGGAGGAGAAGGAGAGGAAAAAGAAGGAGGAGAAAGAAAGAAGATGGAGGAGAAAGGAGACAAAGGGGGAGAAGAGGAGGGGGAGAAGGAAGCAGGACAAAGAGAAGGAATAGGGAAGGAGGGGAAGAGAGAAGAAGCAGAAAGGGGAGAAAGAGAAGGAGAAGTAGGAGAAGGAAGGAAGGAGAAAAGGAGAAGGAGAAAAAAGAAAAAGCGGGGAAGGAAGAAGAGAAGAAGGAGAGAAAGACGAAGAGGTTGTTATTATAATTGTCTTTGAATTGTGGCCTGCTTTGCTACACCTTTCCAGCAACTGATTTCTCTTATTCTATTGTTGTAACCTTACTCTTAAGTTGCTCCAAGGACGTGGGGGGGGGGATTTCCCACAGGATCCTTCGTTCTCTCTACCTGACTCATTCCTGTGTTGATCCTGACAGTTTCACCTGGACTGGTTTTGCAGTAAAAAAAATACCCCTCGGTTAGGGGGCTAAAGAGGGGGAGCCGGAGCGAGTCCTTCTTCCCTCACTCCCCTTCTCCTCATGGGGCATAGTAAGTGCCTGTTTGGGAGCAGGAAAGCAGGGGAGAGGAAATCTGTTGACTTGCAAGGGACGTTTTGCCACACGAGTCCTGAGTTCGGAAGAGCATCGTAAAAACTAATCAAGGAGAGAAGTAACCTGGAATTAAGGAGAAACCTCCTAACAGGGAGGACAATTAATCAGTGGAACAGCTTGCCACCAGAGATTATGGGTGCTCCAATAGTGGAGCTTTTTAAGAAAAGACTGGACAGTCATTGTCTGAAATGGTATAGGGTTTCCTGCTTGAGCAGGGGGCTGGACTAGAAGACCTCCAAGGGTCCCTTCCTGCTTCTCTTCTCTTCTCTTCTCTTCTCTTCTCTTCTCTTCTCTTCTCTTCTCTTCTCTTCTCTTCCTTACAGTTGCCAAGGTTGGGCACCTCTACTTTAGATTCTTCCCTTGCATTCACCCTTATGCACACAAATGCACACACTTAATTGGTTCGATTTTTTTTGGAGCAGGACTTTGTTCCTTCCAACCGAATCACCCACCCACACACCCCTCTGAAAATCAGCCTCAACCCTTTTGCAAATTGCCGGAAAAGGGGAAAACAACCTTTGCAGACTCTTCTTGAAGGATTTGTGGTTGGTAAACTCCTGGAGGTATAAAGTCCTTGAGGTCATGGAAAGTTTTTTTTTTTCCCCCCCCAAACCGGAGCATTAACTCTAAAAAGTGTTGACTTCAGACACAAGGATTTAAGTCAACAATCATCAAAAAAAAAAAAAAAAATCCCCGAGAATCTCTGCAGAGGATTTCTTGAGAGTGACCGGTTTTTAACTTCAAAACAAGGGGGTTGCGTAAGAACATGTCCACAATGTGAGTTTTTCCTTGGAACCTGTCCTAACCCCTCCAGTAGCTGCATCGTTTTACAGTAGTCCTCAACCTACGACCGTATCTGGGGACTAGAATTCCCGTCGCTAAGCAAAGCGATTGTTACTGGGATCACATGACCCCCCCAGGAACCTACAACCTAGTTGTAAATAGGTATTGCTAGGCTTCAAAAATTTTAGCAAGGCGTTTTCTCTGCCCAGTTGCTGGTTTGGTGCGACCATAATGGGTGTGGCCTAGTTGGCCTCCTTCAACTCGGTGGGGGCAGTGGTGGGTTGCCGCCGGTTCGGGCGAAGCGGTAGCAGCATTGACAGGAAGCTCCGCCCACCCGCCCAGATGTCTCTGCGCATGTGCAGAAGTGTTGCGCGCAAGTGCACGCACGCCCACGAGCAAATTAGTTTGCGACAGGATTTGAATCCCACTATTGGGGGCGGGGATGTTTTGGCCCTCCCCGGGCTCCAGAGGCTTTCCTCGAGCCGCTGGGAGGATGGAAATGGGCCTGTTTCCGGCCTCCTTGAACTTCCGGTAAGCCCGTTTTTTCGGCCTCCCTGAGCCTCCGCGCGCACCTGCATCCAAAATGAGTCGTCTTCCCCACTGACTTTGCTGGTGAGGTCACAAAAGGGGATTGTGTGACCCCTGCAGACGTCATAAGTGAGAAAAACGCCCCTAAGTCACTTTTTTTCAATGTGGTGGAACGTCATTAAATGAATGGTTGTAAGTTGAGAATTATCTGTATATTCGCCATCTGGCTTCTATAAGTCAGGAACTTTGTCGGGCCAATTTTTGATCCCTTTTGGAGACTAGAACTGATTGGCACAGCTAGTCTAGTGAAGAGAAGGACCAGGGGAGACAGGATAGCAGGCTTCCAATATTTGAGGGGCTGCCCCAGAGAGGAGGAAGGGGGTCAAGCTATTTTCCAAAGGAACTGAAGTTCAGACAAGGAATAATGGATGGAAACTGATCAAGGAGAGATTCAATCTGGAAATAAGGAGGAATTTTCTGATAGGGAGAACAATCAACCGATGGAACAGAAGTTGCCTTCAGAAGTTGTGGGAGCTTCATCACTGGAAGCTTTCAAGAATAGATGGACTGCCATTTTGTCAGAAATGGTGTGGGGTCTCCTGCTTGGATGGAGGGTTGGACTAGATGACCTCCAAGGTCCCTTCCAACTCTCATTAATCTGATACGACCAATACTTGCTTAATCCGGCTGCAAAAAGGGTTTTGATTTTAGCCTGAAAAGTTGAATTTATTTATTGGTATTTTATACCTGGACCAGGAAGAACGATGTAAAATCGTTTTTGGTATTTCAAATAGTGTCTGATTTTATTATTATTATTTTTTTACAAACAGGGTGAATTGCCTTTGAATGCCATCCAAGTACAATTTGAGGAAAACCAGAAAACCGCTTTTTTAATAGAAGGTAGGTTTCCCCGCCCCCCCTTGCTTACATGTAAATTTGTGTGTGTGTGTGTTTGTGTGTGTTTGTGTATCAAGAGGAAGAGATGGCAGGTAGACATTCCGGAGTGGAATTTCCATGGCTAACCAAGGAGATGGTTAAAAGGAAGCCAGGGCACAGTTTTACAACCTTTTCTCTCTCTTTTTTTTTTGCCATGGTTGTTGCAGTCACTAAATGAATCACATAGTCATTAAGCGAATCCAGGTTCCCTTATTGACTTGGTGCTTGTCGGAAGCCAGCCAATGGCGACCAAGCGCCTGTCCCGTCACAGGGAGGCTCTGAATCCCTCCATTAAAATAAAAGACAAGGGGATTGGGGAAGATTCTGAAGGATCCCTTCCGGTTCAAACATCTGGATCTGGTTACAAACAAGACGTGATCTCTATTTTTTTCTAGGCCGGCTAATCAACTCCATCCGGGTGATTTGCTCCAGCTACAAAGATTACCAAGAGTGGTTATATTGTCTTAAAACCGCCCAGTTCCGCCATGCTGATTCCTCCCTCTCGGGATCGGAGAGTTTCTCCGGGTTGAAGCCTTCTCACCTGGGGCAGGTAAAGTGCTTGTTTCCTGCCTGGTTTATAACACAACTCTTGCATGATGCTTCCTTGCTTTGTTTCCTTGCTTAAATGGTCTTCCTAGCGATAACTCTGCGGCACGGGTGGGATTCAACCGGTTCGGATGCTAATTTTACATCTGGTTCGCTGAACCGGTAGTTGCAAGGAGTGGCTGGCCCCGCCCACCCCGCCCCTCCCAGGAGTCTCCACGCGGCCTGTTTTGGATGCCAGGTAAGTGCAGGATCTGCACGGAGGCTCTGGGAGGGCGAAAAATGGGCCTACTGGAAGTCCGGAAACTGGCCTGTTTCCAGCCTCCAGAGGGTTTCTGGAGCCCAGAGGAGGCCGTTTTCGCCCTCCCAGAGACATGAGGAAAGCCTCTGGGGCCTGGGGAGGGCAAAAAGTGGGCCTACTGGAAGTACCAGGCCTGTTTCCGGGCTCTGGAGGGCCTCCATAGCCCGGGGGACGCCATTTTCGCCCTCCCAGAGGCTCAACCAGAGGTTCTCTGCCCAGTTGCTGGGTGGGCATGGCCATGGTGGGCGTGGCCTACTCGGCCTCCTGCACTTTGGGGGTGGGGCATTTTCACCCTCCCCAGACTCCGGAGGCTTTCCTCGAGCCTCTGGGAGGGTGAAAACGGCCTCCCCCAGGCTCCAGAGGTCGGAAACGGGCCCATTTCTGGACCTCCAGAACTTCTGCTAGGCCCGTTTTTCGCCTTCCCAGAGCCTCCATACGGGCCCTACACTTACCTGGCATCCAAAACGGGCTGCGTGGAGACTTTTGGGAGGGGCGGGTCAGGGCAGGGCGGACAGGATCAGCCAGTCTGTGTAACAACCGGTTCGACGAACCGGATTAAAATTAACATCCGGTTTGTCTGAACCGGCTGAATCCCACCCCTGCCTTGATGTCTCGCTTTTCTTCCCCATTCTTTGAAGGCCAGGACTGCATTATTTCCACGTGCCAATCATTTCATTTGATCTTCTCTTGCCCACCCCCAAATGCCACGCATTTTAATTTCTTGCTCGGTTTAGTTTTCAGGAAGCGGAAGAGGGTCACTCACCTCGGAGGGCAGAACGAATTCCTGGGCTTCTGCCGGGAAGGGGGCTACGACGTCCACCCACCACTCCCAAACCAGTACAGCTTCTTTCTCCGAGAGACAATCGGTCGATGCGGTGCCCGAGAATCGGTTAGCTGAAAACTCTCTGCCGCAACCGGTTTGCGTAAGTCGGGTGTTTGAAAATTGGGTGGTGGGCTCGATGGGTGATTCAAGCGGCAGCACCAACCTCGTGGGTCTGTGGGAAGGAAAAAAAACAAGTCAAGTTGGCTTAAAAGATCTGGAAAGCTTAAATTCCTTGGTTGACCGTTGACTTCTACGTAGAGCCCATCTACTATCAAGTGTTTCCTCTTCCACAATTTTGAGCGCAACCGCTAAACAAGCATATTTTTGTTTTAAGTTTTATTAGATTTTTTTAAAAAAATATACGCCAATATCAATATATGAAAGAGTGTGGCCTCTGGGTATAATTCATTTTGATACAAACAGCAATAATAGTGTCTATTAAATGGTGTCTCCTCTTGTTGTTGCAGTGCTCAGGAAAACGAGAGACCGGACTGCCGAAGGCCGAGCTGAAAAGGAAGGGGAGTTCTCGAAAGTCCAAAGGGAAGGGCGTCCCGCCACCTCAGCAGCCCCAGTGCCACTGGGAGGACCCCGAAAAGAAAAGCTCCATCCCGCTCACCTCGAAGCAACCCCGTGGAGAAGGCGTCTCCCCTGTGTACAATGAGCCGTACTCGGCTCAGGCCCAACAGGAGCATCCTGCTGTCCGCCCGTTGCACCTGGACTTAAACAATGTACGAGCTGAGGATAATCGTAGAATTTGGGAAGAGGGCAGAGCTCTGGGATCAAAGCTCTGGGATCAAAGCCTGATGATCTTCGGAACATCTGGAATGGCCCTGCAAATGTCCTTCCGCAGCTGGATTTCTCATCCAATGGGCGTTTTGTTTTTTTCGTCCCTTCTGCAGCTGAAGCAGTGGCACGTGCCAAGGAGTCAGACCTGCCCAGTTCCCCAAACTCTGGAAAATATCTCTCTGTCGTCTTCCCCCATGTATGCTGACCCCTACACGCCCAGTTCCCCCACCTCGCACGGGGCTGCAGGCTCCTACTTCCTAGATGAGGTGAGTGGGACCAAATAAGCTACGGGTGTCAAACTCAATTTCATCAGGGCTGTGGTTGACCTTTGGGAGGGGGCGTGGCCAACTGGGTGGGTGTGGCCATCTTGACACCACTTACTGGGCGTGGCCGACTGGGTGGGCATGGCCATCTTGACACAACTCACGGCGTGGCCAACTGGGTGGGCGCGGCCAGCTTAACGCCACTCACTGGGCGTGGCTGACTGGGTGGGTGTGGCCAGCTTAACACCACTCCCCAAACTTCTGGCATGTTTCCTCTTCGCACTGGGTAGACTGGGCCGAAGTGACACAGGCCAACCCCTTACAAATTCCAGGATGGCTCTGCGGGCCAAATCCGACCACATCCGGCACATCCAATGGTCGGATTGGGCCCTCAGGCCTTGTGTTTGACACCCCTGATGTAAGTCTTTTTCTTCTCCTCCTCCTCCTCCTTCCCTCCTCCTCCTCCTCCTCCTCCTCCTTCTTCTCCTCCACCTCCTCCTTTTCTCCTTTTCTCCTTCGCCCTTTCTCCTTTTCTCCTTCTCCTTCTCCCTCTCCTTTTCTTCTTCTTCTTCTTCTTCTTCTTCTTCTTCTTCTTCTTCTTCTTTCTTCTTCTTCTTCTCCTCCTTCTCCTACTCCTTCTTCTTCTCCCCCACCTCCTCCTTTTCTCCTTCTCCCTTTCTCCTTCTCCTTCTCCTTCTCCCTCTCCTTTTCTTCTTTCTTCTTCTTCTTCTCCTTCTCCTCCTCCTCCATCATCTCCTTTTCTCCTTCTCCCTTTCTCCTTCTCCTTTCCTCCTTCTCTTTCTTTCTTCTTCACCTTCTCCTTTCTCCTTTCTCCGTTCTTCTTCTCCTTCTCCTTCTCCTCCTCCTCCTCCTCCTCCTCCCCCCTCCCCCTCTTCCTTCTCCTCCTCCTCTTCTTTCTTCTCCACTTCCTTCCTTCTTCCTCCCTCCTCCTCTTCCCTCCTCCTCCCCGTCCATCCTCCCCTTCCTTCCTCCACCTCCTCCCCCCCCACTTCCTTCCTCGTCTCCTTCACAGCTCGGGAGGTGTCACGGGCCATCCACTGTGGAGCACCAGAATGGCTACCCAGCCATGCCAGTGTCCGTTCCCATCTGCCATCATCCTCTGGGGTGGAAGAGCTTTCAACCGTCCTGTGGAAACCACTGGCGAGAACCCAGCCTTGCCCAGAGAGTCAATGCCTCCGCTCCAGCCTTTCATTTTGCCACAGAACCTGCACCAGATGCCCATTATTTGACCACGGTAAGTGCCATGCAAAGCCTGCTGAAGAGATTTGGTCCTTACCCCACTTCTGGGTGGGACAGAGGGTGGAATCAAAACTGTTCTGTGGGTTTCGTAGCTCTCAACTCCTTTTTTTTTTTTGGTCTTTCCCTACCTGCAAACAGAGTACCACATCAGGAGATGGCCTTCGGATGCGTTCCTTGCCGACTTCAGGTGAGTCCTTGCGATGGGAGGCCTTGGGGACTTGGCCTTGAATGGGCTTGGCTGTGTTCTGTCCCCGTCCCACACACGCACCCCCACAGACAGCCCCGAGTTAATAAGCCACACGACAAAATCTTTGAAGATAAAGCTGGCAGCAACCCAGTGGCTAGCTGCCAATTCAGACTTTACTCACACAAAACAAAGATTAGACTGTAAGCATTCCGATAAAGCAGGCAAAGTTTCCGCAATACAAGGATTAGTCCAAATGCAGTCCGACAAGGCAGGCAGAAGTCCAGTAACGCAGAGATCATGGATTATTTCTAGTTTTTGCTCGTCACAAACTGAACCGGCCACCACACCCACATTTATACCCTGTGGGGTGTGGTCCAGTGACTCAGATAATCTCTGGCATGCCTTCCCCTCTGCTGCGCACGCTTCTCCCTGCGCCGCTGCCGAGGGTCCAGCCAGCACTTATCTCCTTCATCGCTGTCCACCTGTGGCTGCGGGGACGTGCTTGGCTCTGGGCCTATCTTTTGTCCTTCGGTGTCCTCCGGAGGCATTGCCAGAGAGGAGGGTCCTGGAGAGGGAGGCCTTGCCAATTCCTCTCCCTCACTCTCAGAGTCTGCATCTGTCGATAGCCCAGGCTCAGGCAACGGAGCCACAACAGGCTGGAAGTCTTCTGGTGTCGGAGTTCCAGGAGGCCCATTTTGCACCCTTCCCGAGCCTCCGCATGTGCCCTGCACTTACCTGCATCCAAAAAGGGGCCGCATGGGGACTCCTGGGAGGAGCGGAGCGGGGTGATAAGGGCCAGCCAGGAGTGGGATTTGGGGGTTCTCCGAACTGCATAGAATCTTAGCTAGAGGTTCTCCCGAACCCATGCGAACCCCCAACAGCCCACCTCTGCCTCCAGCCCCCTAATCATTTTGGTTACTCTTCTCTGCGCTGTTCTCTTCCAGATGAAAACCTTCAGGCCTACAACCTGCCTGAAAGAGGAGGGGACCCGCTCGACCCGACGTATCACGACTACGCGGAGCTGCAAAGCTTCCACGAGGACTACAGTTACGACAACATCTGGGATACAGAGGCGAAGCAGCCGCCCTCCTCCGACCACGAGATCTACGATTGCTGAGGGAGGCGTCCATCCGCCGAAGCGGGAAGAACGGAGGAAGAACTCGGCTCTGGTTTTATAATGCAAAGATTGATCCAGGTGGATTTTTCTGGAGGTCTGGATTCTTCTGGCTACTTTTGGGTTCCTTTGTCTTGTTCCTCTACTTTGGTGCTTGTGGTGCTATGAAAAACTTCTGAGAAAAGGATCCGGAATTCTCTCCACCCGCTAATCCCGTTGTGTATCGACACGAAGAGACGGACCCTGATTCTGCGGTTGTTATGAAGAAAGCTGCACTGTCTGTGGGGGAGGGGTCAGGACCCAGTCTGGATTTTTGGGTGCCGTCAATAGATCTTGCAATTCAACCCCAAACAGCACAAAAAAAAAAAAACCCCAACAACCCCCAATCTGCTAACGGTTACATCCAGTGGTGGGTTCCTCCCGGTTCGGCCAAGCCGGTAGCGGTGACAATATGACATCACCGAACTGGTTCTCCCTCCCGCCCACCCCCCCACATTATTCTTACCTTTTATTTGGTCCCACCCCCAATCTATTGCTGCCTCCTGAGTCCCAGCTGAGGACTAGAGGGAAAAAAACTGTTTAAACTCTTGCCGTGGGGCTTCAAAGGGCCGCCCTACAGCTGATCAGTGTTAAAAGCAAACAAATGAGTCGGGTCATAAGTGCGAGGACTGGTCGTAAGTGCGAGGACTGGTCGTAAGTGTGAGGACCTTCCAGAAATTACTGATCAGCTAGCCACGCCCACCTAGTCACATGACCTCCAAGCCACACCCATAAAATAAGCCATGCCCACAGAACTGGTAGTAAAAAAAATTTAGAACCCACCCCTGGTTACATCAAAGGACAAATGCAAAGTGTGGTTTTTTTAAAAGCCGCCATTCAATCGGTTTGAAGACCTGGGCTATAAATAATGAATCTGCAGGATTAGGAATTTTGAGGTGGCTTGTAGCAACAATAACACACACACACACATACACACACAGAGCAAACAAGTATAAGACGTCCTTCCCCGGTTATGAAGGTTTGCAAAGAGACGGCGTTGCTGGCAATTCTGACTCGGGATAAAATGAGGATATCCTTAGTCTATTATATAGTAAACGGCCTCGATCAATACAGGGTGTGGTTGTGCGCACACAAACCCTGTGCGTGCAGTTTTTACACCCTGCACACTTTTTCAAGAAAATGTATTTTCCCAGCCCATCCTCTGCCTTTTGGTCTATGTCAGGGGTCAGCAACCTGCGGCTCTGGAGCTGGATGTGGCTCTTTCATCCCTCTGCTGCGGCTCCTTGTCGCCAGTCGGCTCCACACTTGATAAGGCTTTCGGTTAGGACAGGTAGAGGAAAAAGGATGCCGTGCTAGGAGGAGACTCTATGGTGGGGGAACCAGACTTCCGGTTGGCTGCAGAATTGTCGGGGGGGGCTCCCAGTTAGGACTTTTGTGGCTCTTTGACTGTTTAAGGTTGCCGACCCCTGTTCTATGTCATAATGAAGGAAAGTTTTGCACTCCTTCCGATGGAGAAATATTTTGCTTTGTGAAAGCTGGCCGAGGCTACTTCCTGTGTGCAACACAACAACTGATGTTCCCAGGGCCTAACACACTTAACACCGCCTTGCTTGCTCTTAGGGACAAGTTGCGTTCTCCTTGGCGGATGGTTGTCCTTCTTTTGAAACAGGCTGCTTTGTTGGTTACCATTTAAATAATAATAATAATAATTAATAGCGCTGCTTGCAAACTACTTGGAGAAGCCGCAAAAGGCTTGCTGTTGGAAGAGAAGATTGTAAGAAGAACAAGAGGAGAGAGAGGTGAAGAACTGATTGCTGGTTTCAAGAATCGGGAGTGTTGCAAAAAAGAAGATTCTCTAGGACACACGTTACGTTGTGTGCATTGCGTTGTGTTTGTTGTTATTTATTATTCTTTGCTTTTATAGCCCGTTGTTCCTTGAAGAAACCAATTTGATGGCATCTGCCATCTTCCTTCCTTCTTTCCTTCTTTCCTTCCTTCCTACCTTCTTTCCTTTCTTCCTTCCTTCCCCATCTTTCTCGTCCTCCCTTCTTTCCTTCCTTCCCCATCTTTCTCTTCGTTTGTTCGTTCCTTCCTTATCTTTCTCTTCTTTCCTTCCTTCCTTCCTCATCTTTCCTTTCCTTCCTTCCTCTTTCTCTTCCTTCTTTCCTTCCTTCCCCATCTTTCTCTTCGTTCGTTCCTTCCTTATTTTTCTCTTCCTTCCTTCCTCATCTTTCCTTCCTTCTTTCCTTCATCTTTCTCTTCCTTCCTCCTTTCCTCCCTCCCTTCCTTCTATCTTTTTTCCTTCCTTCTTTCCTTCTCCATCTTTTCCTTCCTTCCTCTCTCCCTCGATCTTTCCTTCTTTCTTTGTTTCTTCTTCTCTTCTTCTCTTCTTTTCTTTTCTTCTCTTCCTTTCTTTCTTTCTTTTTCTCTTTCTCTTCTTCTCTTTCTTTCTTTCTTTCTTTCTTTTTTCCTTCCTTCCTTCTCTCTTCTGAATAATCTCATCAGGCAATGGGATGGCAGCAGACACAATTTTAGTTCACACTTTTGGTTGTTGCTATCGGCCGGGGATAACCCACCGTCTACTTTTGTTACTTGAATTTTAAAATATTAAAAATATATACTGTTCAACCGCCAACCTTTACTGAAGTTTACAGGAGGGTCTTTTTGGCTTATTCTATTTAATAAGCAATTAAATGTGTTGGCAAGGGGAGGGGAAATTTTTCTAAAGAAAGTATTTAATTTAGTAAATAACCCCGGCTGTTTGACATCAGCTGCTTCTTGATGGCTGTTGAAGTAAAGCGGGGGGGGGGGGGGGGGGTTGGTTATGGCTGTAATTTCAATTCCAGGTGTTTCTTTTTGTTGTTGTTGTTGTACTTTTGAGGTGTGTGTTTGTGTCTGCGTCGATGTGTCGTTGGCCTTTAACGTGAGCGCAAACCGTCAAGTGAAATTGGATCTCAAATCGCGCGGCTCAGGTTGCGATTGTGTGTTGCAGCCATGCCAGACGATACTTGGTGCAGATTTTGTGTGCATGGGAGTGTGGGTCGGTGTGTAAGGCGGTGGGGGGGGGAAGGGAGTTGTACAGCACTGACACTGTTCCTTTGGTGATTTCTTTGAAGACCCCCCCTAATAAAGTTAATATAATTACGTGTGCCTGCTGTGTTTTGCTTTCTAAAGGAGACCTGTCTCTTGTCTTTTAACAAAAAAACAAATCTTCATTTTTTTTCCCCCAGGCTAGCTAAATCAGCTGAATTGAAATTGAGGAAGGGGCAGCTGGGGGAGGGGGCTCTAAGCCAGATGTTCTCAGGTTTCCCGATCTGCTAGTATGAAAAACGTTTCCAAGTTATGAAAGTTCCACTTATCTAGAAAGCAGGTGTAGAGGTGTGCAATTCCCGAAAACCGTTGAAAAACTCTACACCACTTCAGACAAAATGGTTATCCAACCTCTTCTTAAAAACTTCCAGTGTTGGAGCATTCACAACTTCTGGAGGCAAGTGGTTCCACGGGTTAATTGTTCTAATTATTTCTCCTTAGTTCTAAGTTGCTTCTCTCCTTGATGAGTTTCAACCTGTTGCTTCTTGTCCTGCTTTTAGGTGCTTTGGAGAACAGCTTGACTCCCTCTTCTTTGGGGCAGCCCCTGAGAGATTGGAAGACTGCTACCATGTCTCCCCTAGTCCTTCTTTTCATCAGACTAGCCTTACCCAGTTCCTGCAACCGTTTTTCATACGTTTTAGCCTCCAGTCCCCTATAATCCTCTTTGTTGCTCTTCTCTACACTCTTTCTAGAGTCTCCGCATCTTTTTTACATCGTGGCGACCAAAACTGGATGCAGTCGCTTGACATTCGATTTTCTAAGCGGGTCATTTTCAACGCCGGGGTCCCTAGGGAGTCTGTTAATGGACGGAAGGGACACCTGTCTGACTTTTTCACTCCCTCGGCAGGGAATAGCTGGGGGATAGTCTTCCAAAATGCCAGCCAACTGCCCTCGCCGGGGACGGGAGAGAGAGCTAACCAGAAAGAGTAAGGGAGAAACAGGGACGGGCCTTCTTGCTTGCAACTATGCATGGAAGGATATTTCAAGGTGAAGAAAATAACTCAAGAATCGGGTCTCTATGGAGTTTCTCCATCATCCAGGTTGTCCCACAAGTGCTATTTTTTTAAAAAAATCTTTGGGACTCATCTCCGTTTCAAAGCCGAAGAGCTAGCGCTGTCCGAAGACGTCTCTGTGGTCATGTGGCCGGCGTGACTCAACGCCAAAGGCGCACGGAACGCTGTTACCTTCCCACCAAAGGGGGTCCCTATTTTTTCTACTTGCCTTTTTTACCTGCTTTCGAACTGCTAGGTTGGCAGAAGCTGGGACAAGTCACGGGAGGTCACCCCGTTACGCGGCACTAGGGATTCGAACCGCTGAACCGCCGACCTTTCGATCGACAAGCTCAGCGTCTTAGCCGCTGAGCCACCGCGTTCCTCTATTTATACAAAACCTCCTGCTAAATTTCTGGCTTGGTGTTTCACATCATCCAGGGCCAAAGACCCATCAATTCTGCATCGCATCTACTGTCATGAAAGGTCAACTATTTCCAGGAAAGTCAGAAATGGATTCGGATTGTAGCAAGAAGACCAGCAAAAACTCCAGGAAGGTTTATCTAAAAATGGCTTAATGGTGCCCGGAACATATTACCATCTCTGGTGGACATGTCCTAAGGTGAAAAAATATTGGGCTAAAACTAGAAGGTGGATAGAAGAGACAATTGGCTATAATGTGGAATTGAAACCAGAGACGATTTTACTGGGGATATTGAATAGGACCTACAGTAAAGAAATTAGATATTTGATTTTGCATATAATTACAGCGGCAAAGGATAATCTATGCACAGTACTGGAAAAGTGAAAAAACTCCAACAGAGGAAGAAACAATTAGGAAAATTCTGGACTGTGCGGAGATGGATAAATTAACGAAAGAAACAAAAGAAAAAGAAGATACAGAATATTATCAAGTATGGAATAAGTGGTATGATTGGCTAAAGACTAGGGAAGGTAAAAAGGGAACAAATGATGTAAAATATTGTAAATGAATAAAACTAGAAATAAAGGGACGATAAAAATAAAAAGACAATAAAGAACGAGAAAAATGGGGAATGTAGAAAATAGAAAGTAAGAGGAACGAAACTGATATGTAAAAAGACACACGTATGGTGTGTTGATGTTTTTGTATGTTGTGTTGTTACTGTAAAATCAATAAAAATATTTTAAAAAATAAAAACGGCGTAGTGGGTGGCTTCTGAAATTCCCCTCCCATGTCCCCTCCCCTCCTCCATTTGCCTGGGTCTCATCCAGGGAGGAAGAGTTGCCACTTAGCCCCTAACACAGTTTTATTTCACCTGCCTGCCATTCCCTGTTGAGAGCATAGCAGCAGCTGTGCAAACAGTAGCTCAGCCTGCTAAGATCTCCATTAAAATACCTCCATTCCTTCTTCAGATGAACAGAACAGAATAACAGAGTTGGAAGGGGCCTTGGAGGTCTTCTAGTCAGTGGTGGGATTCAGCCGGTTCGGGTCTTCTAGTGGGTGGTGGGATTCAGCCGGTTCGGGTCTTCTAATCGGTGGTAGGATTCAGCCGGTTCAGGTCTTCTAGTCAGTGGTGGGATTCAGCTGGTTCAGGTCTTCTAGTCAGTGGTGGGATTCAGCCGGTTCGGGTCTACTAGTCAGTGGTGGGATTCAGCCGGTTTGGGTCTTCTAGTCAGTGGTGGGATTCAGCCAGTTCGGGTCTTCTAGTCGGTGGTAGGATTCAGCCGGTTTGGGTCTTCTAGTCGGTGGTAGGATTCAGCCGGTTCGGGTCTTCTAGTCAGTGGTAGGATTCCGCCGGTTCGGGTCTTCTAGTCATGGTGGGATTCAGCCGGTTTGGGTCTTCTAGTCGGTGGTAGGATTCAGCTGGTTCAGTCTTCTAGTCAGTGGTGGGATTCAGCTGGTTCGGGTCTTTTAGTCAGTGGTGGGATTCAGCCGGTTCGGGGCAGTTCATGAGAACCGGTAGTTAAATTGCTGGCTGGCCCCATCCCGCCCCTTCCAGGAGTCTTCACGGGCCCCATTTTGGCTCCCAGAAGGCTGCAGGGAGGCCTACTAGGCCCAAAATGGGGCACAGAGGGGCCGGCATGTTCCCCCCCCCCATGGCCCGTTTTTGCTCCCAGAGGAGGTGCAGGAGGGCGAGGGCTGCCTATCACACTCCCTGGCCATGCCCACCCAGCCGGTCATTAGGACAGAGGTTGTTAAATTATTTGAATCCCAATATATTTTCTACTCTCCTAATGAACGTTGGAGAATCAGGGAGACAGAGAGCAGGAGTGGAAAAGACATCTGAAGCAACAGATGAAGTCAAAGTGCTGATTTAGTTTAGAGGCCGCAAGAATGAGAAACAGAAAAGAAAAAAAAATCTGTCATGTGAATCTTCATTTAATTTCGGGCTCAGGTTGCCAGTATTGGGGAAATTAAACTGATCTATGTACACAATAATTATAAACATCACAGCAAAATAATGTCTCTGGGCACAATGAGAATATATATATATGTTGAACAAAACTCCGCATTGGCGATAGGAAAGGCATCCGGCCATTCAATGTTCTGCTAACTCCATTCAGTTGGCCAGACTCCACCCCGCAAGGGATTATGGGGGTCATTAAACGATAATGATGATGATCACAGCAAAATAATATATGGTATGTGTTTTGAGCATTCAAAAGGGCAGTGTTTGTAAATGTTTTGTTTTAAATGCTTGTTTACTGGAACTATTTATAACAGGGGTCAGCAACCTGCGGCTCTGGAGCCGCATGTGGCTCTTTCACCCCTCTGCTGCGGCTCCCTGTCACTCAAAATATGATATGACCCCTGATTTATAACAAACAGATTATAGCAAGCAGATCCAAATATATATATATATTTGCACCCACCCAAAAGCCTGAGTTGAATAACATTTCCTTCTAAACCCTAGGGAGGGTGGGCTGAAAAAAGCACAAAACCAAGCTGTGTGCGTTTGCAATCAACTTGTTGGGTAGAAATTGACACAACTTTCTAAATTACATAGAAAGACTCGCTGGATAGCTTTGTTATAATATTTGCAGCATTCTACAAAGTCATTTCTTAATGCTCACCAGGAAAGATTTATGGGCTTCAATATACAAGCGGTTTCTAGAAAATTTCCCCACTAAAAACACCAGGGGTGGAAATGCTACCGGTTCGGTCCGGTTCGGCTGAAATGGTAGCGGCGGGAGTGCAAGGCTCCGCCCACCCGCCCGGACGTCGTTACTTCCTGGTTTTAACCTGTTTTTGACCCTCTGCGTATGCACAGGAAGCTTTGCGCCTAAGGAAGTGCGCAGGGTGCGCACTTCCGAACCGGACGTGATTCGCCCCGAAACACCCCCTCCTACCAACTTCCCAAAATCAGTTCATCATCTTTTGCAATAAACCTCGTTCCCAACCCATCAAAAGCCAGTTCACTGCCCTAGTATGGGAAAAGCAAAATTCTCTAAAAGTTAAAAAAAAAGAAGCTTCCCATTACAGCACAGGTAGTCCTCAAAATACGACCGCAGCTGAGCCCAACATTTTATGTGGCCAATGCGAAACGTGTGTTAAGTGAGCCTTGCCCTGTTTTACGACCTTTCTTGACACAGTTGTTAAGTGTGAATCGCCTCATTTGATAAGTTAGCGACAACGATTTTTAAGTGAATCTGGCTTCCTTCCCCATTTGACTTTGCTTGTCAGGAGGTCGTAAAAGGGGATCGCGTGACGTGACCCCGGGATGCTGCTACCGTCAGAAATAAGAGACAAATACCAAGCGTCTGAATTTTGAGCACGTGACCATGGGCATAATGCAAAGGTCGTAAGTGTGAAAAATAGTCATAATAATTCACATTTTTCAGTGTCATTGTAACTTTGGACAGTCAGCAAATAAACTAAGTTGAGGATTGCCTGTACTATTATACACTATATGTTAAATTCTCCTCTCGCGTTCTGTAGTGGAAATGCCTAAAACATCCTCTTAGAACCATCTTGTCTTTCAGTGATTCCTTTTCTTAAACCTAGCTGGGTTTTTTTAAAAAAAAAAAAAAACCACAAGCTTTTTGTTCCTTTTATTGATTTGTCCGTGAAAATCCTCTCTAAATTCTTCCGATAACTTTCTTCAAGCGTGTTTTGGCTCCTGTGTGTCTGTGAGTAATTCATTTTATAGCTTACCACCCCTTGTGAGTTTAAGATAAATTCCCAACTGGGAGATAAGAAAGAAAGAAAGAAAGAAAGAAAGAGAGAGAGAGAGAGAGAGAAGAGAGAAGGGAGGGAGGAGGGAGGGAGGGAGGGAGGGAGAAAGAAAGAAAGAAAGAAAAAAGAAAGAAGAAAGAAAGAAAGAAGGAAGGAAGGAAGGTGGAGGAAAAGAAAGGTGAAAGGAAGGAGGAAGGAAAGAAGGAAGAAAGAAAGAAGGAAGGAAACAAGAAGGGAGGAAGGAAGGAGGAAGGAAGGCAAGAAAGAAAGAAAGAGGGAGGGAGGGAAGAGAAAGATGAGACGGAGGAAAGAAGGAAGGAAGAAAAAAGGAGGAAGGAGGACAGAAGGGGGAAGATAAAGGTGAGAGGAAGGAAAGAAGGAAGGAAGAAGGAAAGAAGGAAGGAAAGAAAGAAGGGAAGGAAGGACAGAAAAGGAGGAAGGAAGGAAGAAAGGAAGGAAGGAAGGAGAAGGAAGAGAAGGAAGGAGAGAAGGAAGGAAGGAAGGAAAGAAGGAAGGAAGGAGGAAGGAGGGAAGGAGGGAAGGAAGGAAGGAAAGAAAGGAAGGAAGGAGGAAGAAAGGAGAGAAGGAAGGAAGAAAGAAAGAGGAGAAAGAAAGAAAGACAGAAAGAAAGAAAGAAAGAAAGACAGACAGACAGAAAAAGAAAGAAAGAAAGAAAGAAAGAAAGAAAGAAAGAAAGAAAGAAAAAGAAAGATTTGAGGCTCGGGTTAGGTAAATCCCAACAGGAATGGTAACTAAAGCTGATTTTTAGGGAAGGTTTAATCTTTCTTTCTCACCTCTTTCCCTGCCAGTAAAATTTGGCAATTCAAGAGGTCCCAAATTTTGCTTTCTTGCTTTGCAGGAAACGATCTTGAAAGCACTTCTTTCACGGAATGGGATTGACTTCGCGTCTCCTTAAGAGCCGTGATGACTTTCCATGACAACCTGCCTCCTGAAGCAACGGATGGCCGAGAGGGTACCAAAATTAGCCAGCAGCACTGGAAAAAGAAAGAAAGAAAAAGAAAGAAAAAGAAAGAAAGAAAGAAAGAAAGAAAGAAAGAAAGAAAGAAAGAAAGAAAGAAAGAGCAATATGTGTCTAGATAAATGAATGCGATCAAGACATTTAAACTTTTTCCTTAGCAAAAGCACCAAGCCAAGATTAAGCATTTTTTTGCACAGTCTTTCCCCCTTTTCAGTATTCCAATCTTCTCTGCAATTTGCAGAAGGTTCTTCTTTTTACATAATAAATCCTGCAATTGTTTTCTGCTATCTTTTACTATGTTTTTAGCTAAAGGAGGGGAGAAGAAAACAAAGCTTTCCTTTCCACTTTTTTAAAAAAAAAACCTTCTAGGTTTCCCCAAGCATCCCTGCATGCCAGTCATGAGGACTAGGAGTTTTACAAAAACAAAAGCAAAAGGAAAGTGAATTCTGTTTAAAACAATCTTCCTGGGGGACTTTGGAATCTGTTGGGTTTTTGAAACAGGGGAGGGGAGAGGAACGGAGGGGTGGGGAGGGAAGATAAAAGAAAGAGGGAAGGAAAGGGAAGGGAAGAGGAAGGGGAAGAAAAGAAAAGAAAAAAAGAAAAGAGAAAAGAAAAGAAAAAAGAAAAGAAAAGAAAAGATGGAAGGGAAGGGAAGGGAAGGGAAGGGAGCTAAAAGAAGAAAGAAAGGAAAGACAGAGGGAAGGGAAGGGAAAGGAAAGGAAAAAGGAAAGGAAAGGGAAAGGAGAAAGGAAAGGAAAGGAAACAAAAGGAAAGGGAAGGAAGAGCGAAGGAAGAGGGAAGGGAAGGGAAGGGAAGGAAGAGAAAGGAAAAGAGGGAAGGGAAGGGAAAGGAAAAAGGAAAGGAAAGGGAAAGGAAAAAGGAAAGGAAACAAAAGGAAAGGAAGAGGGAAGGGAAGGATAGGGAAGGGAAGGAAAGGAAAGAAAAAGAGGGAAGGAAAGGAAGGGAAAGGAAAGGAAGAGGGAAGGGAAGGGAAGAAAAAGAGGGAAGGGAAAGGAAAGGAAAAAGGAAAGGAAATACCATTTTCTCCTTATATGAATGGTCTCTCTGAATTTGCTTCTTTCTCAAAAAGTAGGAAGGAACGGGAAAAACGGGGGGCGGGCAGTGGGCGGTGAAGGCCTAGGAGTTCTGCTCTTACATTCTTTAAAAATAAACCTTCTTTTAAGATATAAAGAAGGGAGAAACAGGCCTCTCTCTCTCTCTGTGCTGTTGGGTTGAAACACGTGGAAGGAAGGTTGCTTGGAAAAAAGAAAAAAACGGAATAAAAAAAAGATAAGGAGCTAAGAGAGAGGGAATGAAAACGGGGGTGAGAAAAATCAAAAATCTTGGTGTTCCTCCTGCCTCATTTCAGACGGGAACCAGTCGGTCAACATTCCTGGGTTATCTTCGGCCCACCCCACCCCCTCCCCAAATCTCATTTCTCCCCACACACAGGAGCCCTGGGAAGCATTACCAATCTTCCAAGCATCCGGAGAGTGAAGGTCGGAGGTTTTCACAGCCCAAGAAGCCAACGCCACAAATCCCAGACACAGATCTCTGGGCGTGAGGACCAGCTGAAGAGGCCTCTCTGAATTAAAAAGAAAAAAGAACCAAGGTGCTTAAGAAAGTAGGCGCTTGGAATCAGTGGGGCTCAGAGGACGTCTAGTCTGACCCACTGGTGGGATTCAGCCAGTTCGCACCTATTCGGGAGAACCGGTTGTTAACTTTCTAAGCAGTTCGGAGACCCGGTTGTGGGAAGAAATCTTATTTTGTGTTTTTTCCCAGTTTACAGGGCTAATCCTGTAAGGAAGGCAGGAAGGAAACATTCTGGTGGTATTTCTAGCCTAATTTTTATTGCCCTGCTTACAGAAACTGCCTCTTGGGTTAACCCTTATTACATTGTAACAGCTAAAGCGAAGCGCCCATCGACATGAGTGATGTTGAGTTGGCCATGCCCATACAGTCACATGACCACCGAGCCACACCTACCCAGCTGGTCATTAGGGCAGAGAACCGGTTGTTAAATTATTTGAATCCCACCACTGGTCTGACCCCCCCCCCCTTAGTGCAGGATCAGGGCATCCAAAGTGTGGTCCCTGGTCTCCCTCAAAACCCTCCACAGGGGTTCATGAAATCAAAATTATACTCAGATTCAATAACCAAGAAGCAGATGTAGAAAGAGATAAAGATCTTAAGAGAGGAATACGGAAGACAAATCAGAAAGAAAGAAAAAAAGCATAGCATTTAAAGTATTGAAGCGGGCAAGAGATGATGGATAGATGATTTTTCATTTTTGGTGTCGTTTTGATTTGCCTTCCTTTTCCTCTCTCTTTTCTTTTTTTTTTTTTTTTGTTGGTAGGTGACAGGATTAGAAGTTAGGTAGGACAGAAAGAAAGTGTTCTTTTTAACGATGGTTAAAAGTTAGAATAAGAGATAGAAATAAGAGAAAAGGGGAATATCAGTGTATACAGTTTTATATAACAAAATAAGAGTAATAATTCAAGAGTTACATTCTTTCATTATTCAATTATTCCAAGTTTTCTCTTAACGTGGAATCACTGAATAATGAAAGAATGCAACTTTATATAAATATGTATCACTATTAGAAATATATAAACTGGACTGAAAGTAATAACTACGACTAATGCTATTAGTCCTATTTGTATTAGAATGCATGATACCCAGGCGCCACACGCATTGATATGTTTGCAAAAATAAATAAATAAAAACTTAAAAAGGGGAAAAAAATTATTTCGTAGCCTATGTTGAAAAATAATGCAATGCAGGAACTCCTCGATTAATGACCACAACTGGGGACTGGAACCTCCATGGCTAAGCAATTACAGTTGTGCACAATTTTACAAGCGTTTTTTTTTTTGCCACACTTGTTAAATGAACCAGGAAAGCCTCCGGAGCCCGGGAAGGGCGAAAACGACCCCACCACCACCGCGGTGCAGGAGGCGGACTAGGCCACGCCCACCAAGCAATGCCACGCCCATCAAGCCACACCCACAGAACCGGTAGTAAAAAAAATTTGAAACCCACCACTGGCTCCGGGGCTTATTATGCCTGCTGGAGAAAATGGTGAGAACTGTTTTTTCTTCCAGTTATCCATTTAAAAACGAATGATAAAAAGACGGTGCAGTTGCCGTAATACGAAAACACAGAGACCCGATTATCACAGCCAAATCAAAAGCTTCTTTTTCTCAAAAAAAAACCCAGACCTCAATCTTAATCTCCGCTTGGCTGAGGTTGAGGCTGTGCTAGATAAAACCACCATCGTGGTCATTTTTTAAAAAAAAAACGACATTCAAAGGTCATTCTTGGCTTAAATTGCACCTTTCATCTCCTCTGTTTTTGTTTGTGTCTCTCAAGGATCCCTGAAGTACAAATTTTCCTTTGGTGTCTCGGATCGCTTTTCTCTCCCAAGGTCAGAGGCCCAATTTAGAGTTGGAAATAACTCAAAAGCGGGAGACGCTCTCTGAGTCAACAACTCTTGGCCGAATCTGCAAAGGGTTTTTTAGCCTTCAACGATAAACGAAAAACAAGAGATTGCCAGAGAAGCTGTGTTCATTCAGCCTACAAAGAGCACTCCTTTCTTAATGGGTTAGAAAGCAAGAAAAAAAAAATCCTTCTTAGATGTCTACAAAATGGCATCTTCTCAGCTGACTGCCCTGCCCTCGTTCACAGATTTTAATCTTCGTAATATTTTCCTTGCAAAGGAACACTCCTGCGCTTTCCCACAGCTTCTTCGGTCCAGACAAAAATCAAAACAGTTTGAAAGAGGGAAGCTGGGTTACGTCTCTCAATGCACACTCCACCAGGGTTCCCACCAGGGGTGAAATCCAGCAGGTTCTAACAGGTTCTGCTGAACTGGTAGCGGAAATTTTGAGCAGTTCGGAGAACCGGTAGTGGAAATTTTGAGCAGTTCAGAGAACCGGTAGCGGAAATTTTGAGTAGTTCAGAGAATTGGCAAATACCTCCTCTGGCTGGCCCCAGAGTGGGGTGGGAATGGAGATTTTGCAATATCCTTCCCCCAGGAGTGTGGAGAATGGGGATTTTGCAGTATCCTTCCCATGGAGTGTGGAGGGAATGGGGATTTTGCAGTATCCTTCCCATGGAGTCGGGTGGGAATGGAGATTTTGCAATATCCTTCCCCCAGGAGTGTGGAGGGAATGGGGATTTTGCAGTATCCTTCCCATGGAGTGTGGAGGGAATGGGGATTTTGCAGTATCCTTCCCATGGAGTCGGGTGGGAATGGAGATTTTGCAATATCCTTCCCCCAGACTAATCTAGACCGCCAGTTAAGACCGACAAAATTGGTTCGTGCACTAAAGTCAGAAGGATTTGGCAAATAATGTCATATGTGATCTTCTTGGGTCTTGCATTGACTGGAATACAAAAGATCTCGCATGAAAAAAAAATGTGTTTTAGGTGGGCAGGAGTGTATAAGTCCCCTAAGAAAGATATTCCACAGATTTCCGAAGCCTGGTTTAGCAATGAAAGTTAGGAAAGTTATTAGTAGAGAATTGCAGGTTGAACCAGAAGCTCAGTTAAGGATGGGAAAGAAGGAATACCTGGTTTAAAGACAGCTACCCCGAGGTTTTCCGGTCTTGGGGATGTTCCATCCAGAAGCGTTGGAGATACGAGCATCACTCTTGCTTGAGATCCTTTCCGCTTTGGCCGCTTTGATCTGAGAAAGCGAACTGGCCTACCAACAAGAGATGTTAAAGCTCTCACAGCCTTTCCTAACTCTGAAGCTCGTACGGCCAAGATATTTGGCCTCCGGATGCCCTTGTCTTGTGGTTGGTGCGCAAAGAAATGCTCGTACACTTCTGGGAACCCCATGGGATCGGTGGTGCTCATGTTGGATGTTGGCTCTTCCAAGTCACAACCATGGGCAGAGCTGAGGGATGTCTCTGAAGGACTGATTTGGCTCCAAGTCTCCTCTTCAACCTCACCTACATCCTGAAAGAAATATTCGTACATTTCAGGACCTGACAATGCTGGTAGCTCTGATGGATGGTCGTGGCTGGCCTTCCATGACCTTCCCTCCTCCGATGATGGCCTCTCTACTTCATGGAGATCCTCATCAGAGAAGAAATAGTCGTACACCTCAGGCCACGTCATGTTGGCTACAGTTTCTTCTGAACAATCATTTGACTTCAGAGGGTAGGGAACAAATCTCGGGTTTTCTTGAGTCCTGGTTAGGGCCTCTCCTTCGGATGGGATGGTGGGACCAAGATGGAGACAAGGTTCTCCATTATCCTGCCTTTCCGTCTTTCCTGATGAAACGTGGTTAACCTCCAGAGATGGTTCTGGAGATCCATCTTCTTCTAGAACTTCTGGGCATCCTTCCACCGCGTTGTCCTTGGCTCGGTCTCCCTCTTGAGAAGTATTATTAGGGCTGAAGCTCCTGCTGAGATCTGCTCCACTCTCTGTTTTCAGGACATCCTCGTCTTCCTTTCCAGAAGTCCTTGCCATACTGTTGGCCAACAGTGGTGTCACCTGGACCGAATGTTCTTGAGAAGAAAGGGAACGCGTTTTCTGGAACGAAGTCCTCGAGGCAACCTGGAGGCCCTCGACTTCCATCTCTGGATTCTCAGCTTCTCCAGAGGTTGGAGAAAGAACAGAAGGAACCCTGAGGGAACTGGGATCTAGAGCTGCGTCTCCTAACTTGGGAAAGTCGAGTTGTCCAGATACGGCGGCATCGCTCGTCGATCCTGGGAATTTGCAGGCTGCAGAAGCAGTCAGGGAAGTATGGTCTTCTTGGGGATCGTTTAATTTCAAGCCATTTGCTCCCTCTGGACTCTCCGTTGTCTCTGCTGCGGGACTCGAACCGGGGGGCAGCAGCACCAAAGATTTTGCTCCCGTCTCTGGCCTCGGAGGTGGTTCCTGGGAATCCCTCTCTTGGGTGATGATGTGGGCTTCCGCCTTAGTTTTGGGATCCATAGGCCAACCTACTACTCCTACGCGGCCTTCTTCAGCAAGAGAAAGAGGCACAGAGCTGGGGGCAGGTTCTGGCAGCTGGGGGTCCAAAGGGAGGCTGGAGAAGGGGCTCGGGAAGGGCCGGGAAGGCTGAAAAACTTGTTGACTTCTGCAGAGAAACTTGCTGACGGAGCCTAGTTCGGATTCATCTTCGCTGCCGGAGAAAGCATCCTCTGCAAGCAATTGCTCACTTGGGACACCATCAACGGAGAGGCGGCTGGCTTTTGGGTGGGCTAGGGGGCCCTGCTTCCCTTCAGCCTCCCCTTCCTCGAGATCACTCAGGAGCTGTTCTTCGGCAGCGGCCAAGGCCGGAGGGATCAAGCAGCACTCTTCGGAGACGAAGTAAAATTCAGCCCAATCCCGGTCGTTCAGCTGGATGCTGTATTCAAAATTTTCCATCTGGGAAGAGAAACGTTCGGCGGGGTTTGGAGGAGAAGAGGGAAGGGATGGTGGGGCGGAGAGAGAGGCAAGCTTTGTGAGAACAGAAAAGGGTCTTTTTGGTAGCTGCAGACCTTAATAGGTATTTAGGGAATGGATATATGCAGGGGTGGGGCTGTTGGGGGGATCGCAGGGGTTCGAGAGAACCTCTAGCTAAGATTCTGTGCAGTTTGGAGAACCCCCAAATCTCACTCCTGGCTGGCCCCAGTGCATGCACTCAAAAGCCCGATTGGGCTTATTATCCAGGGAGGTCTTATTTTGGGGAAAACACAATAGAAAGATAGAAAGTCAGAGAGACAAGACAGACATACAGAGATAGAGAGGATGGATGGGTGGATGGAACAATACAATTCATTCATCATCCATATTCTATTCTAGGGTGTGTTTTCCAGCACCACACACTTCATTGATGCTCATAAATGCACTCGTTCACACCTACATTCTCTTGTACCCTCAGGTGTATGCATGCACCCCCTCCCACTTTCAGATCTCTCCCCACCCCATTCCATACTCCCCATGTGCCAATCAGGTTTTAAACATTCCACTTGGACATGATTTCACATCATCAGTTTGTCTGCTTTCGTCCTCCTTCCTCCCGAGATGGTACAGTATAGTTATGAAACCCCCTTGAGTGGATTGCAGAAGGACCATAAATAAGTCAAGAAGCTGCTTCTCCTGCCAAGCCATCCTTTGGATGAAGTCCAAAAAGCTTCTGGGCTTGGCAAAGGAAACCCCTTTCTTCTGTTTTTTTGTTTTGTTTTGTTTTGTTTTGTTTTTTTGTTGTTTTTTAAATTTGATTTATATGCCGCCCTTCTCCGGAGACTCAGGGCGGCTTACAATGCGTTAAGCAATAGCCTTCATACTTTTGTATATTTATACAAAGTCAGCTTATTGCCCACAAACTGGGTCCTCAATTTACCTACCTTAGAAAGGATGGAAGGCTGAGTCAACCTTGAGCCTGGCAGGATTTGAACTTACTTTAATTGCAGACAGCTGGTGTTAAATTACAGTGCCTTTGTCTGCAGAGCTATCCGGGCTCTGATTTTGTTTAACTCAAAAGCTGGCTATGTTGACTGGTATGAGATCCTGATGGGGTGTCCATGCTGAAGCTGGTTAGTGGTTTAAGACGGACATCTCACCTCCATTCCATTCACGTTTTCTGGTTCCTAGTTTAGATGTCTACAGAGATCCTCAATCATCCAGGTCATGGTTGTCCCAAAGGGACCAATAAAGGGGGTACAGTAGCTCCAAATAGAAATCAAGGGTCCTTGGTGTTCTCTGGGTTTTCTTGTAGATGTTTCATTAGTCAAGGTTGACTCAGCCTTCCATCCTTTTGAGGTAGGTAAAATAAGGACCCAGATTGTTGGGGGCAAGAGACTGACTGCTTAGAGAGGGCTGTAAAGCACTATGAAGCAGTATATAAGTCTAAGTGCTATTCCTTCCTTCCTTCCTTCCTTCCTTCCTTCCTTCCTTCCTTCCTTCCTTCCCTCCCTCCCTCCCTCCCTCCCTCCTTCCTTCCTTCCTTCCTTCCTTCCTTCCTTCCTTCCTTCCTTCCTTCCTTCCTAGTGTTAGAATGCAATACTGCAGGGCTAACTCCCTGCTCACTCCAGGAGTTCAATTCTGACTGGCTCAAGGTTGACTCAACCTTCCATCATTCCAAGGTCGATAAAATGAGGACCCGGACTGTTGGGAGCAATATGCTGACTCTGTAAACTGCTTAGAGAGGACTGTAAAGCACTGTAAAGCAGTATATAAGTCTAAGTACTATTGCTATTACCCAAATTAGGTGTTGTGGTCCACCAGCAGCCTGCGGAGCTGGCAGTGGAGTCAGACAGCAATGAGGGTGAGGAAGAACAGGGGCCAGTCCTGGAGGCTGGGGAAGGCCCGGATGAGGGCTCTGCGTCGGAGGCAGAGCTGGGGCCAGGGCCATCGGGGAGTGATGTGCAGACTTCAGAGCCTCCAGAGGCTGATAGTAGAGAGGCAGAGGAACAGGAGGAGCCTGTTCCTAGTGCACATATGAGAAGAGCTGCCAGAAGGCAAGAGCAGCTAAAGCAGAGAGGACGACTCAGGAGTAGGACCAAGAGATGATTAGCCCCTCCCATAAGGCTTAAAAGACCAGCAACAGCTTTTGGCCTCTTTGCCGGAAAACAACCATTGAGAGATTTGCTTCGTGTTTGGATATATTTCTTTCTTGTCAGCGTCTTCTGTTCCTGAACTGTTGCCAAGAAAAGCCTTTGGCAGTTTGCCTAATTATCCCAAGGTCAGAGATAAACTGAAGGTGTTTTGAGAACTTTGCTTTCATTTAATTTGGAATACACTGAGAATGAGTTAATTCTCAGCTGTTTTAATAAAATCTGTTTGTTTTTTGGAACTGTTTGGCATTTAGTATTAACTACGTGGGCCTGGGTCAAACACTGGGTGACATTATCATTGCAAGAAAATAACCACACTCAGAGAGGAACAAGGACCTCTCATTTGTCCTAATGATGCTTTCCCAAGAGACAATAAAACTTTCTTTTGTTTTCTTTGAAAATGTTTTGCTTCTCACGCAAGCAGCTTCTTCAGTTCAAACGGAAGAAATTGAGCCGAAGAAGCTTCTTGGATGAGAAGCGAAACATTTTCAGAGAAAAAAAAACAACAACAACAATTAAGAAGGCCAGTTGCCTTTTGGAAAAGCACCTTTGGGATGTTCCTAGTTTATCCAAATTTCCTATTCATGTTTTTGAGATGATTGATGTTTATTGATCTTGGTGTTTATGGTGTAGCAAGCTGCCCAGAGCCATTACGTTATGGGGGGGGACATATGAATTAAATAAATATATTTTAGTTGATTAGGTAAGGTAAAGGTAAAGGTTCCCCTCGCACATATGTGCTAGTTGTTCCCAACTCTAGAGGGCAGTGCTCATCTCCGTTTCAAAGCCGAAGAGCCACCGCTGTCCGAAGACGTCTCCGTGGTCATGTGGCTGGCATGACTCAACGTCGAAAGTGCATGGAATGCTGTTCCCTTCCCACCAAAGGTGGCCCCTATTTTTTTACTTGCATTTTTTTACGTGCTTTCGAACTGCTAGGTTGGCAGAAGCTGGGACAAGTCACGGGAGCTCACCCGTTATGCGACACTAGGATTTGAACCGCTGAACTGCCGACCTTTCGATCGACAAGCTCAGCATCTTAGCCACTGAACGCCCCCCTCCAAACCTCAAACCTAAGACACAGAACACGGACCAGCCACCACTTCCTACAATCCATGGGTTCGTGCACAAAGGCCTTAACATCCTACCTGTATCTTTTAAGATTGCACTAACATTGACCTACTGTATCTCAACCAAAGCAAGACCAATTTAATCAACTGCTGCGTTGTACAACAGACACAGTTCTTGCCTCCTCAGGTGGAAATATCTGCAGGCTGGTCTGACAAAATAAAATCTAATCATCCTGGCTGGCATGGCCATTAAAAGAGGGGGAAGGAAGAAGCCTGTGAAAGAGAGCACATCTCAATTTTTTCTTCTCTTTTGCAGCGATGTGAGAACCGATAAGACTCGGCAGAAAGAATATTTTGACATTTTCCTGGCTTCTGTTGAACGTTGAGAAAGGAGATTATCTTGGACCAGCACAAAAGTCTTCTTACTGCTTCATTGGCTTTTTAGTGAAAACAGAGAGCAAGGAAAAATTCTGTCTCTAGTACTTTATTCAGCCACTTACCCTAAACATTAATTAGAAGCTTAAACGTTGCTTCAAGCGGAGCATCATCGGAAGGACTTACACCAAGTACGAATTACAAGCGTGAAGTTTGCCTGGATCTCCTCAAAGTGCAGAAAGTCTGTCTGTACAAACTTTGGAAGGTGATTTAGTTTTTTTAAAAATTCCCACCAGGTTTCCTGCTTGCTACGATTCTGAGTTCACTTTTGGGGCAGATGGAGTCATACATCATCTTGACTGGTAGGCCGAGAATGTCCATATCTTAGGGGAAGTGGGGACTGAATATTATGAATGTTGGGTTTCTTTCTGATCATTCCTCCCGGAACCACAAATGAAAGAAATGGGTCATCGTGTTCCAGCGGAGATCTCTTTCTACGCCTCTCTACCTCATAATTTCTCAACCTCCTTACTAAAATTTGGTAGTTCTGCTGCAACCATTTCATTAACTTCCTAAATCTTCAACGCCATCATCTTAAGAAAGGCACCAAAGTTGCCAAGGACTTTGTAAAATTTATGGTGACCATATTGTTCCTTGGCCAACATCTCCAGAACTTTGGCTACTGTGGAACCGCTGAAGAATTTTCTAATCTAATCTAATCTCATCGTTCCCACCACCATCTCCTTCCACTTATGACTGTATGATTGTAACTTTGTTGCTTGGATCCTTACAATTTTGTTTCTGATTGCTTATAGTAATGATAGTACCTTATGACTATCATTAAGTGTTGTTCTTATGATTCTTGATGAACATATCTTTTCTTTTATGTACACTGAGAGCTTATGCACCAAGACAAATTCCTTGTGTTCCAATCACACTTGGCCAATAAAGAATTCTATTCTTATTCTATTCTATTCTATTCTATTCTATTCTATTCTATTCTATTAGAATAGAATAGAATAGAATAGAATAGAATAGAATAGAATTCTTTATTGGCCAAGTGTGATTGGACACACAAGGAATTTGTCTTGGTGCATAAGCTCTCAGTGTACATAAAAGAAAAGATATGTTCATCAAGAATCATAAGGTACAAACACTTAATGATAGTCATAAGGTACTATCATTACTATAAGCAATCAGGAAACAAATTGTAAGGATCCAAGCAAACAAAGTTACAATCATACAGTCATAAGTGGAGGAGATGGGTGGTGGGAACGATGAGATTAGATTAGATTAGAAAATTCTTCAGCGGTTCCACAGTAGCCAAAGTTCTGGAGATGTTGGCCAAGGAACAATATGGTCACCATAAATTTTACAAAGTCCTTGGCAACTTTGGTGCCTTTCTTAAGATGGATGGCGTTGAAGATTTAGGAAGGTTAATGAAATGGTT